CTACTTCACTGTACTGCATTTAGACTCAGCTTCCCCACATTCCAAATTCTCTGTTCCCCAAGCTTCTCTTTCATTAGTTCTGCGAGCACTGTCTTCCCCCGACCTCCACCAAAAAAGCTGCAGTGTGCCTACTAAGGGCTCCCCAAAGCAGCTGCACCCCACAATCATAGCTGAAATGATACTATCCTTTCTTGTCTCACAAAAAGGAAAACTGAGACCCAAAGAGGGGAGTTTGATGTCCTCTAGGTCACGAAACAAGTTGATAGTGATGGGTCTAGACCTAGACTCTTTTGAGTGCCCCTCACTTCCACTTTGGAAGCCTCTGCATGAAGGTCTCACTCCTTTTTGGGGGATGGGTGAACTAGGTCAACTTCATTTACCACCAACTAATGATTCCATCCCCCACCTCAGCCCTGAAACTGTGGGAGCTGATGTGTTGTGCAACTATTTTCCAAGGAGCTGGGTTCACCCTGACCAACCTTGAGCTATTTTAGGGCCGCCCTGCCCAGTTTAGTGTGTGTCAGTGGGTGAGCAAGACATGTGCCTCTGCAGACACAGTGGCATGGCGTGTGTCAGCTCACACGTGTCCTGGAATCCTCCCTTCTCCCACCCCGCCTGTGGCAGGCCAATCTAGGTGCTTGGCAGAGGTGTGGCAGGCAGGTCACCTTTTTCTCCTGCTAATACCACGGGAGCACAGCCACCTGGTTGGCAATGTAACCAGAGGGTCAAAGTCCCTGAGTGGCTAGAGAGCCAAAGTCGTTGTTACCAGGGTGAGATCTGAAGGGGGAATTTTAGAGCCCTAGGCTGGACAACTTGTACTTCCACCTCCTGGAACTCGCACCGCTAAGTCCCTTCTGGACACAGAGATAGAGTCCACTGTGACTCACTCTCTTAGAGGCCAGGGGAACCAGGCTGGGCAGATTCCTTCCCTTCAGTTCCTTCAGAGAATATATCTTCCAGACTAAGGGGAATGTGACCGTCTTTCTTTTGTAAGACCTCCACTCTCTTTACTGTTGACTAGATATCCCTCCATGGTCCATGGTCTCATCCCTGGAATGATCTTAGTGTTAAAATCAGCAGCTGGGTTTTTGTTTTTGTTTTTGGAGGACTGGGCACTGTGAATGGTGCGCAGCTGCTCATCCCATACCCCGATCTTCCACTGACAACTGAGTCATTATCTGCGGTTGATATTCCCAAAGAAGGCATATAGGGAAGTTGGGCACATATGGGAGATGCCACAGGGATCAAGCCTCACACTCAAAGCAGGAGCTGCACGTGTCCCGCAAAGGGTCATGGGTGTTGTTTGGCCATGCTGTGTCTACTGTGTGTTGGGGAATTGCTTACTAACTTCAAGATTAGGGGCTCCACGTGGTAAACTGAGTGGCCAGCAGTTGTTTTGGGGAGACGGGTGGGGATGAGCTCAGTGGCACCCTAGGTCCGGAGACATGGCAGCTGACACCCCCTTTCCTTTTGTTCTCCCTCCAGGTGGCGTCATCAGCTACATCGGCTCCAGTGGCTCCTCCCCAAGCCGAACCAGCCCTGAATCCCTCTATAGTGACAACTCCAATGGCAGCTTCCAGCCCCTGACCCAAGGCTGCCCCACCTACTTCCCACCGTCTCCCACTGGTTCCCTCACCCAGGACCCAGCTCGCTCCTTTGGGAGCATTCCACCCAGCCTGAGTGATGAGGGCTCCCCTTCTTCCTCATCTTCCTCCTCCTCCTCCTCCTCCTCCTCCTTCTATAATGGGAGCCCCCCAGGGAGTCTACAGGTGGCCATGGAGGACAGCAGCCGAGTGTCCCCCAGCAAGAGCACCAGCAGCATCACCAGTGAGTACCTTTCCAGCTGACTCAGAAGGGAAGCAGGCCCTGGTAGATTGGGAATGGGTTTTCCCGTGACGCAGGTCTCACCAGGGCCTACTCCGGCTTCAGGGATTTCTCCTAGAGTAGCAGCAGCCCCTCTTCAGCCAAGTCTAGTCACTCCAGTGCCCCTTGACACCGGAGTTCCTCCTTAGCTTTTCCCTCTTGGGATCTCCCACCCAGAAAGCCTCCACACCTCTGGCCGCTCAGCCTGGCCTCTCCTGCTCACCTGCTGCCTGTCTCTTCCACAGAGCTGAATGGCATGGTGCTACTGTGTAAAGTGTGTGGGGATGTTGCCTCGGGCTTCCACTACGGTGTGCATGCCTGTGAGGGCTGCAAGGTGAGGCGGGCTGGGGGTAAGGGCAGGGGCAGGTGGCCGCCTCCCGCTGGACACAGAGGTGCAGCCATGATGGAGGTGGTCACTAACGGCCCCCGCCCTCCAGGGCTTTTTCCGTCGGAGCATCCAGCAGAACATCCAGTACAAGAGGTGTCTGAAGAATGAGAATTGCTCCATCGTCCGCATCAATCGCAACCGTTGCCAGCAGTGTCGCTTCAAGAAGTGTCTCTCCGTGGGCATGTCTCGAGACGGTGAGGCAGCACTCCACATCCTCCCGCTTCCTTCCGCCCAAAGTTTCTGAATTAATCCCTCCCTTTTAAAAAGTCCCAAATGGAGACACATCATACTATGAATTGAATTTGCACGGGGAATGTCCATCCTTCATCTGCTTGGGTCAACAAAAACTTCTATCCCATTGGTCCCTCGGGTCACGTCCTACCAGCAATCCCTCCTTGGGAAACCCCCTTGTTGGGTGTGGCCTTGTTTTAGTTTTGATGTGAAACCCCAAGCCTTCAGGGCCTTGCCCTTTCAGGAGAAAGGAAGGAAGATAAACACGTGAGTGTGGTTGAGAACTTCCTGACACTGTTATCCTGTCGCAGCTGTGCGTTTTGGGCGCATCCCCAAACGAGAGAAGCAGCGGATGCTTGCTGAGATGCAGAGTGCAATGAACCTGGCCAACAACCAGTTGAGCAGCCAGTGCCCGCTGGAAACTTCACCCACCCAGCACCCCACCGCAGGCCCCATGGGCCCCTCACCATCCCCCGCTCCGGTCCCTTCACCCCTGGTGGGCTTCTCTCAGTTCCCACAACAGCTGACGCCTCCCAGATCCCCCAGCCCTGAGCCCACAGTGGAGGATGTGATATCCCAGGTGGCCCGGGCCCATCGAGAGATCTTCACCTATGCCCACGACAAGCTGGGCAGCTCTCCTGGCAACTTCAATGCCAACCATGCATCAGGTAGCTCTCCAGCCACCACCCCACATCGCTGGGAAAGTCAAGGCTGCCCACCTGCCCCCAATGACAATAACACCCTGGCCGCCCAGCGTCATAATGAGGCCCTAAATGGTCTACGCCAGGCCCCTTCCTCCTACCCTCCCACCTGGCCTCCTGGCCCTGCACACCACAGCTGCCACCAGTCCAACAGCAACGGGCACCGTCTATGCCCCACCCACGTGTATGCAGCTCCAGAAGGCAAGGCACCTGCCAACAATCCTCGGCAGGGCAACTCCAAGAATGTTCTTCTGGTAAGAGCATGGGGGCGGGTGGGTGCATTAAGAAGGTCGGGAGGACCTGGCAGAACGGTCTTAGCAGAGGGCAGCTGGGTGTTTCTGGAGACTGAGTGTGGGGATTTCCTCTTCCCAGGAGAGAATGTCTTGTGTTGCATGGGCTCTGCCTGGGAACCCCTGATCTCTACCTGGCACCTGATTGCTACTTTATCTGAAAGACGTATCCTCCAGGGCCACAGCCCCTAGCCCAGGCAGAATCTGGAGTCCAGCTCGGCTTGGGGAGTCCATCTGACCCACCCTGGCTGACACTCCCTTCCCTCAATCCCTTCCTCCCCAGGCATGTCCCATGAACATGTACCCACATGGACGCAGTGGGCGAACGGTACAGGAGATCTGGGAGGATTTCTCCATGAGCTTCACGCCTGCTGTACGGGAGGTGGTAGAGTTTGCCAAGCACATCCCCGGCTTCCGTGACCTTTCTCAGCACGACCAAGTCACTCTGCTTAAGGCTGGCACCTTCGAGGTGAGTGACCGTTTATGCTTCCTGCTTTTGTTTGTTTGTTTTGAGACGGAGTTTGGCTCTTGTCACCCAGGCTGAGTGCAATAGTGCAATCTCCACTCACTGCAACTTCCACCTCCTGGGTTCAAGTGATTCTCCTGCCTCAGCCTTCCGAGGAGCTGGGATTACAGGTGCCCGCCACTGTGCCTGGCTAATTTTTGTCTTTTTAGTAGAGACAGGGTTTCACCATGTTGGCCAGGCCGGACTTGAACTTCTGACCTGGTGATCCACCCACCCCGCCCTCCCAAAGTGCTGGGATTACAGGCGTGAGCCACTGTGCCTGGCCAAAAAGCACTTCCTGCTTTTGACCTTGGGAAGGATCCAGCAGAAAGCCTTGGTGTCTGGGGTGGGCTGGACCTCTGAAAGGTTTTGGAACCCAGTTTCTTTGTCCTTATAGCCTCTGATTGGTGGAAGAGGCTGAGCTGCTGCTGCTGCCTCTGGATGGCTGGGACTTCTGTCATCTCAGCTGGAATTTAATCACAACCCATTACACTGAAGCACCCATTCTAGACAAAAGCAGATTAACATTGGTGAATGCCTTGCCCAAGGTCACAGGTAGTGACAAAGTTGACACTCAGATTCAGGCTGATTAGATCCCAAAGCCATCCTTCCACCTGGGCTCCCTCATTGCCCATTCAGAAACAAGCCCCACTCTACTGAGAAATGGAAGGCAGCACCACTAAACCCTTTGGCAAACTACAGGGGCGATTTGGCCAGTGCTCCTCCCACTCCACCCAGGATGACTGTTCCTGCCCCCACCCCCCCCAGGTGCTGATGGTGCGCTTTGCATCATTGTTCAACGTGAAGGACCAGACAGTGATGTTCCTAAGCCGCACCACCTACAGCCTGCAGGAGCTCGGTGCCATGGGCATGGGAGACCTGCTCAATGCCATGTTCGACTTCAGCGAGAAGCTCAACTCCCTGGCGCTTACCGAGGAGGAGCTGGGCCTCTTCACCGCGGTGGTGCTTGTCTCTGCAGGTAGGTCAAGCTCTCACCTGACCCGGGGAGGAGGCAGACGCAGTTCAATTCAACACACCTTTTATGGAGTACCTACTCTATGCCAGGCCCTGCACCGGGCACTGGGGATACAGACATGATTCAGACACAGTCTAGCTTGGGAAACAGACTCATGCCCAACTAATTATAAAACAGTGAGATAAGTGTCACAGTAGAAGCATGAACCAAGGAAGCACAGACAACTATTTCTGCCTGGGGGAGCTGGGGAAGGAGGTGACACTTGAGTGGGGCCTCAAAGGACAAGTAAGATGTTGCCAGGCAGAGAAAGGGGGAAGGGCATCCCAGGCAGAGGGAACTACAGAGCAAAAAGCAAGGGAGCTGGGCCATGTTCGGCCTGTTCAGGAAGGGAAGGTGGTCTTACGGGATGGGAGGTGACCAGCCCTGCTGAGCCCACGCTCCCAGCATTCGGGCCTCTCCTGCTCTTGGGGCAGAGGCCTAGGAAAAGGTATGGCTCTCCTTCTCCTTCCCCATCGGCCCTCTCGGGGGCTTCAGGGAGAGGCCGCATTGCCTGCCAGGTCCTCACAGACCTCCGGTTCCTCGTCAGAGGAGCTCGGGGAGTCCGCCTCACTGCTGTCGTCTTCCCCACAGACCGCTCGGGCATGGAGAATTCCGCTTCGGTGGAGCAGCTCCAGGAGACGCTGCTGCGGGCTCTTCGGGCTCTGGTGCTGAAGAACCGGCCCTTGGAGACTTCCCGCTTCACCAAGCTGCTGCTCAAGCTGCCGGACCTGCGGACCCTGAACAACATGCATTCCGAGAAGCTGCTGTCCTTCCGGGTGGACGCCCAGTGACCCGCCCGGCCGGCCTTCTGCCGCTGCCCCCTTGTACAGAATCGAACTCTGCACTTCTCTCTCCTTTACGAGACGAAAAGGAAAAGCAAACCAGAATCTTATTTATATTGTTATAAAATATTCCAAGACGAGCCTCTGGCCCCCTGAGCCTTCTTGTAAATACCTGCCTCCCTCCCCCATCACCGAACTTCCCCTCCTCCCCTATTTAAACCACTCTCTCTCCCCCACAGCCCTCCCCTGGCCCCCTGATTTGTTCTGTTCCTGTCTCAAATCCAATAGTTCACAGCTGAGCTGGCTTCTGTGGTGTGTGCTCGTTTGGGGGGTGGGGTGGAAATACTGCCAAGGCTGGGGGGGCCACCTCTCCATCTGGTCAGTTTGTGGGGTGGGTAGTCTGCCAGCAGATGGGAGGATATAGGGAAACAGCACACAAGTCTAAGGGGGGTGCCCAAGGGGGTTATTTTCATCATATATTTATTACATAAATATATAGTAAAATAGACGAGCAACAATTACCATAAAAATATCTTTCTTTAAAATCCTGACCCAAAACACAACGGGGTGAAAAATCGCACATAACAGACATACTGATTGTCAACGTGGGGCGGGAGTAGGAGCCCCTCAAGTCACCCCTACCGGTCCCACCCCTCCCTGGGGAAGAGACCTACCTCCTTCCCTGTTTCTGGCCACAGCCGCCCCCCTCCCTCCAGCCCAGCACCAGCTTCTCATACATTCAGTAGCGCCTCTGGGCAGTGTCCCCCTCCCCCCGCCCAGGAGTTTCCAGGGCAGGAGTTACTGTCCTCCTTATGGACGGTGTCTCTGTCACACGCCCTGCCCTCTCCCAGCCCTGCAGACCCGCCACCAGGAGAAGGGGTAGGGGCTCCTCCCCCACCCTCCCCAAGTCTGAGCAGGGAGGAGGCTGGATGAGGTATGTGTGTTATGAGTGATGGGAGGGGCAATACTGAGATGGAGAGGCAGGTGGTGGGGGCAGGGTAGTGGTCATGGCTCTGGCACCCCCTTGTCCTGGCCTGGCCCCCTCGTCCTATTCCCAGCAACCCGTCCTCCCACCGATACTACACCTGCTGCTCCACCCTGCCTGCCCTAGTGCCCGGGCCAGTACTGGGGGAGGCATGCTGAGCACCCACGTCAAGGCCATCCCCCTCATTAGCACCAATGGCCCCCAGGAGAGGGCCCTGTCCCCTACTTCCACAGCAGGGACTGGGACAGCTGCCTCTCTAGAGCAGGTGCGTAGCACTCCTGAGTCGCCCTGGCTCCTCCCCTACCACATGTACTCACTCACACATTCACGCAGAGGAACGCACGCATACACCCCACATCATCGAGGGGGAGGGGAGGGGTCTGGGGAGGAGGGAATCACAGCTCATATGATTGGGGAGGGTGGGGGAGTCCCAAGTGCCTGTAAGAGGCCAAGGCTCTTCAAGGCCTTTTCTCCGCCATGTCCATGGCTGAGAATGGGGATGGAGGGGTTGGGGTGGGGATGGAGGGATGGGGAAGACAGCAGACAGGTCAGGAATTCCACTGGGCCCCCAGGCGTGGGAGGAAGGTACAAGAGAGCCTACCCATGGGACTGGAGTAATACAGGAATCAGCACTCCAGGAGAGAGAGAGAGAGAGAGGATAGAGACAAAGACAGCAGGGCAGTCCAGGCCCCAGCAGGGTGGGACAGGCACATGCACAGGTGACAGCGGGTGCTCCTCCAGGCCCTCCACCCCTTTTGGAACACCTGAATGATGGGGGAAGGACAGTGCCCTGGCAGACAGCATAGCACTGCCTTCCCATGTGCGTGTGTGCACATGGATGTGTGTGTGTATGTGGGTGTGTGTGTAGGGGGCTGTGGCAGGCTGAGAGTCAGGGTGGGGTGGCAGGTTCCCCACTGCTTAAGACATTTTTGCCCCAATAGTGCAAAGTGCAGGAAGCCCTGGCACCCCTCCCCCCACCCCCTGCCCCAATCCCCATGGCTTCCGGGGGCATCTATGTCCACCCATCCATCCCTGCCGACATGCAGCCCTGAGCCCAGCACCCTCTGGTCTGCTCTGTCCCACCCCACCTCCTGCTCCCGTGGGAGGACCACCTCCTCTCTCCCTCCCTCCCCTGAGGAGTGGGCAGCAGCCACAGGGAGGGGGAGAAGGGGAGCTCACCCAAGTGCAGACCAACAGAGCACCCTCACTAAGAGGGTGGGAGGGGCTCAAGCCAAAGTCCCTGAATTAGAGAAAAGAAGAGGGGAACAGGTCCCAGGGCAGAGGGGCAGCTGGCCAAAAGAGCTTGAAAGAAAAAGGAGCACCAACCACCCCCTCCCCTGTGGCCCTAAGTGTCACTTATCTAAACACCCCCATTCGGGTGCCTGCCCGCCCAGAGTTAGTGCAGTGAGTAGGAGCGGGGGGGGGGGGGGGGGGGGTGGTTTGAAGCGCGTTTGGCCAGCTGGGAGCCCAGAAGACATGGGAAACAGGGAAACAGAGTGCCTAAGGGGGGAAGCTCTGGGAGACGCTCACGCACAGCCCCCTGCCCCCCCCACCCCTCCCCCACCAATGCAGCAGCATCCGGTTTCTGGCTAATACTGCAGGATATGAGGAGGGTAGGAGCTGGAGCCACAGTTTTTCCTGGGTGGGTGCCAAGGTGTAGAAGGAGGGGGTGGACAGGGAGAGGCCCCTAGGGCTGGGCACTTAAAGGGGAGCTGTGTGGGCGGCAGGGCAGGCTGGTGAGGGGCCAGCTGGCATCCAGCGTGAGAGGTAGATGGAACTCAGCGGGCACGAGTGGCAGAAAGCAGAGGATGTACTAGGGTTGGGGGGGTGCCAAAGGGGCACAGAGGGCGGGGCTCGGCAAGGGGGTGGCCAGGACCCTGTTGTGTTAACTCACAGCTCTGATCGGCAGCCCTACCCTTGGGACTCTGGTGTGGGGGTATTTCTATCTGATGTGGGGGGAGGAGGGGCAGCTCTCAAAGTGCATGGGGTGGTAAGGGGGGGGGGTCCCTCCCCTCTGGTCAGCCTCAGTTAATAACTTAATATCATCTCTCTCTATCGCTCGCTCTCTCTTTTTTGTATTTTTCTCTCTGTCTAGTTTTTCTTCATTTGTCTTTTCCCCTTGCTTGGTTTTCAAAGTGCAGTTAGAATAACTATAAATTTTAACCTCCGGGGGAGGAGCCAAGCCAAGCCGTTCTTTGTACCCAGGCACCTGGGGAAGTAGGGAGGCCCTCAGCCTGGAGGGGAGACCTAGGCCAAGGAACTGGGTGGGGGCTCGCTCTTGTGTGTGTGTGTAGGGGGTGAGTTGAGGGCATCTTCCCCCAGCCCACTTCCTCCTTCCCCTACGGTCAAGATGGCTTGTCCCCTCTCAGCCCCCCTGCCCTTCCCCTACCTTCTGAGAGGACGGGGTCCTGGGAACTGCAGGATGCGGTCCCCAGCCTCCCACACTGTCCTTTCCATAGCAAGTTCATTTGTTTGCCCCGTCCCAGGGCTGGAGGTCTGAGGAGGGACCCGGGCAGTGCGGGTGTGTGTGTGGGAGCTGAATCTATCCAAGGATGAGAGGAAGGAGAGAAGGGGTGTGGGGGGTCTCCCTCAGCCCCCAGCTCTGCCCCTTCTCTCCAGGCTCCTCCCCACCAGCTCCGCACACCCTCTGGCCGCCTGAGGCTTTAGACTTCCTGATCCTCAAAGACCTCGAGGAAGAGTGGGGGGAAGAGTTCGGTGGGGCACTCGACTTTCATGTGAAGGAAGCGGCTGGCGTGGCAGGCCCCAATCATGCGGAGGTCAGTCACCTTCATCAGCAGCTTGGGCCAGAAGTGCGGAATGTTGTGTTTGCGGTGGTTGACGTAGTGCTCGAACGCCAGCAGGTACGCCTCCTGACTCTTCTCGATCTTGTCCACACACAGCAGGCCCGAGCGGTCTGTGGGGAAAGAGGGGCATGAGGGGCGACGGGCCGGCCGAGGGCCTAGAGATGGGGAGGGCGAGGTGTGGAGGGGCGGGAAGAAAGGACCAGAGGGGAGACAGAGGCAGAGTGGCTGGGGGAGGTTAGGGGAGAAGCTCCCGAGGGGACGTGGGCAGGAAAAGCACAGGGCGGAGGAGGCTGGGGAGTGGAGAGGGGTGGGGGGGCTGGGGAGATGGGGTAACAGAGGGCCTGGGGCTGTATCTATATGTGTATGTATCTGGGGTTGGTGGTCAGAGAGGTGGGGTGTGGAGGGGGACTCGAGATGGGTTTGGGAGACAGAGGAGGGATGGGGGATGGAAGGTGGCTGAGAACAAAGCGGGGAGTGTGGAACCAAGGGGAACGTGAGTGACAGAGGGCAGAGGCAGAAAGAAGGATGGAGGCAAAGACAGGAAAAGGCACAGAGCAGGGATGGGAAGGCAAGAGACCGGCCTGGGGAACGAGTGAGGAGTGGGTGACAGAGCAAGGGATAGGGGACAGGGGATGATTTGGGTGACAGAGATGTAGCCTGGAAGAAGATTCAGGAGGGAGTTGAGTACCAGGCGGGGCTCCAGCCCATCTCTGGGACCCCTGGAAGCTTCTGAGCCCTCCCGGCCAATCAGCAGGTACCTGTTGACATTAGCAGCACAGCCTGCAGCAGAGCCACTTCCGTGTCATCCAAGTTAAAGGCAGAGAGTGACTTGCCCAGTTCAAAGATGGCGTCGGAGACTACGCCCAGGCCGCCATTCTTGAGCTGCTCCCGCTTGACGGCCATCTCCCCACTCAGCGTCAGGGTGTCGCTCTCAGGGTCGTAGCGGACAGCTGCCCGCAGGGACATGATCTCCATGCAGCACCCCTTCAGGAGGATGATCTGGTCTTCGCAAGGCAGCTGTGGAGCAGCAGGGCCACAGGAGCACTCAGCACACCCCTCCCCACGTCCCTGAGTCTCCATGGAGTGTCCTCCAGGAACTGTGAGGCTGGTGAGGCCCCCGTCGGCCTCAGCCAATAGCATGGACTCTGAACGGCTGACCCTGTGTTGGGCCACGTGCATGCCCTATTTCATTTAAGCCTCACAATTATACGTGTGAGGCCGGGTGCAGTGGCTCACATTTGTAATCCCAGCATATTGGAAGGCTGAGGCAGGCAAATCCCTTGAGGTCAGGAGTTTGAGACTAGCCTGGCTAACACACATGGTGAAACCCTGTCTCTACTAAAAATACAAAATTAGCTGCGTGTGGTAGCATACACCTGTAGTCACAGCTACTCAGGAGGCTGGGGCAGGAGAATCACCTGAACCCAGGAGGTGGAGGTTGCAGTGAGCCAAGATGGCGTCACTGCACTCCAGCCTGGGCAACAGAACAAGATTCCATTTCAAAAAAGAAAAATAAATAAATTATGCCTGTGAGTTAGCGCCCATCATCATGCCCAGCCCACACCAGATGGGAACACTGAGGCGCAGGGGATGGAGGTAACTTGTCCCAGGTCACATGGCTGGTAGGGCAGCCTGTTTCCAGCACTAGTGCTCTGGAAAACGAGAACTTTCAGACTGCCTGGAGCTGGGCGGTCGCATAGATTTGAGGGATGAGGGGCCGCCGAGAGGAGCACTTGCAGCCAGCTGGTTTCTTAGAGCAGCTAGACCTTGGTGTGTGTCTCTGTGTGTGTTATGTGTATGTGTATGCTGGGAGGGTGTGTGTCTGTGT